TCAGGGTGCTTTGGATAATCCAAAAATAAACGCATTCTACGTATATCGCGGCCCTAAAACGGTAAGGGTTTTCAGTACTTTTTCCCCGACGTTACTTTTTATCTGTTACACTGTGGGCTCAGTGAATAAAGATTGCTTTCCAAAAGTATGAAATAGCAAGGAAGATGATGGCTTCCCACACTGACTATATAGAAACTTGCCTTCTGTACTTAGATGAACATTCTTTCTATCGTAAACGCTCCATCAGGCCATTTAAGCCAGGGATCTTTCTGTGGATTTTGTGACTAAGCTGACGATACTTGGTGGTCTGTCTGATGGTTTTTTATGAAGTTTCATTCTGCTAGAAGCTGTACAAAGGCTATAACGCTGCTACAGCGAACAAAAACGTATATTGTCGAAAGTTCCTCTGTGTGTATGTGTTCGGAAGCGAGTGCACTTTGTCACCCACTTTCAACTCAGCAACCAGAAAGCTGGGAAACTGAAATTATTTTGCTTGCCGGGCAAGCTGTGAAGCTGTAACTTTGCAAAGTCATTCTATATTCATGTATGGTCTTAATTCGGTTTGGAGGTGAAATTCCATGCCCGCAGAAGTGGTAAATACCCGATTTTATCGCAAGCTCAAAAGCGAGTGCGTTTTGCAGATTTTATATTCCTCTTCGGACTTCCTTCGAATTTGCATTTTTACTACGAACGACCATTCATCGGAAAAACGACCGGGCTTCATGCAAAAAACTGTTAATCATGCACGCTGGAGGCCCATGCGTCCCCATAATGCAATACCTTCATCCCAGCCGAAGCCCTTTCCTCTTGCATGCGGGAAGGGGCCAAAACACAGCCAGTACGAGTCTAAATGTTAAAGTACAGCGCAGGACCATTCCTGCTGTTAGCGATCTGCAAGCTGAGCGCAAAAATGCATTGTCGCGTCGAGAAGCCTGGGTTGTTTTTTTTGCAAAGCTGTCATTTTTTTTTTTTTTTTTGATGTGCAATACATTATAGGACATTCCACCACTGCAAGATGTATTAGTGGAAGGTGAAACGGATGATGAAATCGAGGACGAAGAGCTGGACTTGGATTCCCGTGTAAATATGCATCGTTTCGAAGATGAGCCACTGGTTGCGGATCCGTACACGGAACAGGACACCAACCATATGTTCATACCATTTCTTGTTGCTTTTGCTTGTTTTTTCCCAATTCTATTTTGTTTATGTAAATTATAACGGTGAGTTAACTATCTCGACCGGCAGCCTACTTACATATCTGTGGTCGATCTCAACAATCCACAAACTCAGGCATAATCCTTCTTTTTCTGTCTCATATTTCTCCTGTACAACTACTTCAAAACGAGTAACATTGATGATTATAGGTCGTTAATATGTCGGTTTTTTAAGTTGTCCTGGTGAACTTCTTTGTTATTTTAGGCAGCACTTGCAATTTATGCCTTGCAGCAGCACTTACAGCATCGTTTTGGCTGTTTTTGGTTAAAAAATCACGAAATTTAGTTTTCAAAAAGTAACTTGTGAAAGGTTTTTCGCTAATTTTAAGTTACAGGATACAAAACGCATTTTTGCGCTTTGATTTGATATGAAAAAAACTCCAGTTTTATCAAAAATCTAGTTTTACCGCACTTCCTGCTTACAAATCTCATTCACTGATCGAGCACTGAGTATGCAGTACAACATGTAGTTGAGTACCACAGAACGAACAGGTAGAAGAGCTGATTTAATACTTCGAATAATCAGTTTCCTGAGAAAAAGGGAAGAAAAAATCAAGATATTTTCAGAATCTTGTGATTTTTTATAAAGTTGAGAACAGTAGAATCTCGTTTCAACAACATTTTTGGAAGGTTTTATTACGAAAACGGCGTTTTTTTGAGACAAAATTAATATTTCTTGCGATCTTTGCAAGGCATAAATGAGTGCATCTTAGCGCTGAACTACTAGTAGCTAGTCAACTTTTCGTCGATTGTTATTCTATGTGCCATGGTTTCTTGGCACCCTGTTAAAATGGTGCATAATATTACTTATTGGTTTATACTTATTGGTTGTTAAAACACACATTCCCTGTTGAACAGTGGTATGAGTAGAATTTATTCATTTAGCCTGTGAATGTATAATTTTCTCAGAACTGTCTTGAGGTATTTCCTCTGATTTGAGCTACTACAGATCGTACGGATTTTTGACCCAGTGATTGCTTGAATTTAGTATAAAAGCAGAGAGATTCAGGATACATGATTTTACTTGGTTAATTGCTCTGATTAAGGAAGCGAACATAGGCAATTTGAATGTGGGAACAGAATTGGGTATAATTTTTACCTCTTTGATTCGGTAGGCTCTGTGTAAGCGAACATTTACCTTCAGAACAGTCCTCAGGGTTCATCACTGTTGTCCGCAGGGGACTGTACAATCTTCTCAGGACTGTATTGAGGTATTTTCTCTGATTTGAGGTACCGATCGTGCCGATTTTTGACTCAATGAATGCTTGAATTTAGTATAAAAGCAAAGAGATTCAGAATGCATACCTCTAAGAAACACAGACTGCATCGTAAAATGTCTTCTTACATATGACACTTAGTCCAATCCCTCTATTCTGCTATTTCATTGCTGTTGTTAAGGAAGCGAACATAGGCAGTTTGAATGTGGGAACAGAATTGGATATAATTTCTTGCCTCTTTGACTTGGTAGGCCTTTTATAAGCGAACATTTTACCCTCAGAACAGTCCTGCGGGTTCATCATTGTTATCTGTAGGGGACTGTATATTCTTCTCAGAACTTTCTTGAGGTACTTATCGGCCATACGGATTTTTGATTCAGTGATTAATTGAATTTAGTTTAAAGGCAAAAAAGATTCCGGATGCTCCGCTTTACTGGATTTCATTGTTCTTGTTAAGGAAGCGAACAGAAGCGCTTTGAATAGGGGAACAGAAGTGTGTAGAAGTGTTACCTCTTTGATTGAGTAGGCCCTTTATAAGCGAAAATTTCACTTCAGAACACAGTCCTCAGAGTTCAGCATTGTTATCTGTAAAGGACTGTATGACTTTCTCAGGACTGTCTTGAGGTACTTACGAATCGTATTAGTTTTTGACTCACTGAATGCTTGAATTTAGTTTAAAACCAAAAAAATTCAGGATGCTTACACCTTTATGAAACACAGAGACTGCATCGTAAAATGTCTTCTTACATATGACACTTAGTCCAGCCCCTCTGTTCTGCTATTTCACTGCTCTTGTTAAGGAAGCGAACATAGGCATTTTGAATTTCGCAACAGAATTGCTTATAATTTGTTACCTCTTTGACTCAGTAGGCCTTTTATAAGCGAACATTTTACGATCAGAACAGTCCTGTTGGTTC